CCATGTTAAATGTTAAAGAATGCTGCCTTGCCATTGTTGACCAGTTAGTCTTTTAATAGTAAGTTCCATACTCACTGGATGCTCCACAGTCATGGACTTCTGCAGAACTTGGTAAATATTGATAAAGAGTAGTGCATTGCCATAGAAAAAGGTTGTTAGTAAACTCTCCTTACAAATCATTACTGTGGTAGTGAATTCAACCACATTGAATTACTTGCTTTTGTGTTGTACTAAAAACATAGTTTGCCATATCCAATTTAGGTATTGATAGACGCTTCTCGTAATAGACATATCCATCATGAAAAGCTAATGACTGATAGCTTCTTTTCACTCTGCAATTGACAGTGTCAGTACATTCAACTGGTTTGAACTCAGTTTTTCATCTCTTAAGTTAGTTGCCATGTCTCTTTTAGACAGCTGTAGGTGCTTCTCACAATAAAGACAGATCCACCATGAGAATCAAAAAGTTGATTGTCAAAGAGTTGCCAATCTGCAAATGACATCAGTATATCTAATTGGTTAGAATTTAGAGTTTTTAATTATCTTAGGCTGGTAACTGTGTATCTTCTCACAATGGAGAACATGGATCATCATGAGAAGTTAATGGGTGCTAGTCAGACAATCAGCATTTCTCCAATCTAATGTGAGTATGTCCAATTAGTTTGGTGTCTGAATTTCCCATGTTTTACAATAATTGTCATTCAAGGCTAGAGAACCTATTTTGTTATTTCACCTACAGCTGTTTGGTAGGGGATGTGTAAAGAGATGGATCCATGCCTTTTCCCCAAGTGTTGTACAAAGTAAACACAACAGAATCAGCTGGTGTAATATATTATATGTACTAATTATCAATCAACTAAATATCAATGTTATATGTTTGAATTTTATAAGTAGAAAGAATTAATTTCTGGCTTTGTCCTGGTTTAGTTTGCTTTTCCATAAAAACAAAACAAGTCTTTAAACTCTTTACATTGATTGTATCTACATAAATAATCCATGACTGTTAGTCTGGTCATCTCTATTGTTCATCACTAAACACTTGCATTGAAAATTATGCTAACTTTGTATCACTATTTCTCTTATTTAAGTGTAAAACGTAGACACTGCCCCAACTTCAGAATGAAATTTAATCTTTTCTAATATCAGATCTTTTTTGTGTCTTCCTTGAAGTGAGTTTTCGTAATATTTATTAATAATATTTATCTACTTGGTAAAAATATACCTACACATTTGAACAACTTGTAGTCATATTTCTTGTGATGAGCTGGAATAGCAGACATGTTCTTATAAAAATCCTAAGCTAAAGAATTTCAAATTCACTTCCTTGGTAGTGGTTATTATCTTTCACTAACACCCTCTTTAAAAATAGTTTTGAACAGTCTATATTGAAATGCTTTATTTTATCGTCCCCTTCTCTCGATATTGTCCTCAATTTATATTACTCTCATAAATCAGGTCACTGAAATGGTATTTATTTTTTATAATGTATAACCGAACATTATTGGTAGGCACTTTTTTTTTCTCTTGATTGAAAATCTTATTAACGATGTACCTTCTACAGGAATTGCACTTTGCTGCAATGACTTCCTGCGGCTCAATGGTAAAGCACACTTGGCTTGAAAGTGGTTTCTCAGATTAAAAATAGAATACAGGTTTGATTCCTGCTGGGTGAGAATTTTCTTTAAAAGAACTTTCTATGTCTAGATCAATAAACATTAATTTCACTGTTTATTTAAAAAAAAAACATGTACCCACTAAATATAACATCTATAGTAATAATATTGAATTAAGATTCATTGGTTTTTACATAATATAAAGAGAGATAGATACACACACACACACACACACAAGATAAACTATGATCATTAAGTTCTTATTCCTTGAAGATATGCTTAGTAATGTAGGAGTCTTTTTCTTTTCTCCATATCGATATATAATTCATATCTACTTACATAATACAATAAAATGAGATATATGCACATATATTCACCCATTTACAAATATATCAAAGTACATATTTGCATAAGACATTTTCCAAAACAGAGGCTGAAAATAATTTTGTAAAAGTCAGAAAATCATTATTTTGATTTATCTTATATAACAGTGAATTGCTTAATGATTACTCAGAATTATCTTTGTCTGAAACTCTCATATTACAAACCAAAAATAAATCCATTTTCCTGCATAGTTTTGTTTTTATACTTTGCATTTGTTAATGTTTAAGTTTTCAAATATCAGTCTCTTGTTTAGAAAATGCATTTTAAGTTTCTATTTTTTTATATTTTTATCATTTTATTTTACACCTTAAATTAATCAATATTCTTTGTTTCACAAAGACATTATAGAATTTCTTTTTCTTAACTATCATTTCCATTTATTAAATTTTTTCTGTATTCAAATTTTTCAGTAGCATCTTCATTTGTGATTTATTTTTCCACTAATAAATATATTTTATTTCTTAAAAACTTATAATTTTGACATTTAAATAATAAAAATCAGTAACTGATAAAATTTTGCAGATGTTTTCAATTACTTTCCTGCATTGGCCAAAGATATTCTTTGACAAATCTTTTAAAAAATATGTAATTTTTTAACCTTTTTGTACTTATTGTTCCACTAGTGGAACATATTTTAGGATATATTTTATTATACCAGAAAAGCATTTTAAACAAAATAGCCATTGTTGAATGTAATTGGCAGAAATGCCCAGCAAACAGAATTGAAAAAGTTTGCAATAAACGATAACATAAGAAAGAAACAGAAAAGGGCAAAAAATAAAACTAAGTAAACAATATATGCAAGACGAAAGTAACCAAAGCAGCAGTAATGAGGCAAAAAAGTTCACAAACTGAGAATGGTGTTTATACACAAAGGGGATACAGACAAGTGATGGCAGCATTTTGACTTCAAGACAAGAAAGAACAGCAATATAGCAGTTGAGACTGAGAAGCTGATTAGCTTGGAAAAAAAATCCCAGCATGCATCTGTATGATTTGTCTATAAATTTAGTTCTTGCAGTCATTCCTATATAGATTGGAACCAACAAACATTAATTTTATTTCATTGATAATATGCAAGAAAAAAGACTAAAACATATTACACATTGTGTTAAAATATAATTAATGCTTAGTTCATATAAAAAAAAATGTGTTAAGATATGTTTCACTTGTGGAACAATGGACACTTATGGGTTGACTAAAAGTTTCTTAAAACTCATTAACAAAAGTTTGGGTGAGCATAAAATCAGTATCTGTTTTAAACTATTAACTATATGATCATCATCATCATAAAATCTGAGTGGAAGAAGCATTTTTGGTCATATAAATAATCATGATATAATCATTTTATGATGAGTAATTTAGAAGTTGTTGAAGCAACATTTTATATTTACTTTCTACAAACTTGTAGAAAATAATATTAAAGTGTTTTGAAAATAAGATGTGTTGAATCTTCTATTGGATAATATTTTAAATAATATAATTAGATGCTTTGCTACCTTTGTCATTTTATTAATCTGAAAGAGCTTGACATTTTCCAACTTTCTTCTGTTTGTGGTATCACTAAAAACACCAATAGTGTCACTATTTTCAGAAATAAACATTTTCTAATTGTTCTCTTGTATAAGTAGTTGGCATTTTGTAAAACACTGTCATGCTATGATTTCATTATTAAAAATAAAATGAAATTTATAAAACAAAATTTCATTTTAAAACAATTATTTTCTATATACAAACTTGTAATCTGGACCTTATTAAAAAATAGTCTGCTGTATGTGTGTCTATATTGATATAGAGAAAGGATTAGTTTAAAAATAGTTTGCATAGCATGTTTCACATTGATTTTCACTCATATCAGATTAATAACAACCACAATAATTTCAAACTGTATCACTCAAATATTTATTGTATTAATATTTTCTTCTTTCAATGTCAGAACATTTTTTTTTTTTTTTTTTTTTTTTTAAATATGGATCAAAATTCACAAAAAGTAGTTTTAAACTTTCCATTAACTTTCATAAAGGCAGATATAAATGCACAATTGGTGCTCAGTATTTGCTTTTTTTTTTATTTGGTTTTTAATTTGCAGTTATAAGAAGTACCAGCAACAATTTTCTTTATCTTAAAAACTTTCCTGGTTTTAAAAAAAAAAAAAAATTCTTTCTATATTCAACCATTATTAATTATTCATTTACTCATATGATACAAAAAAAAAATTGTTTGTAATTAAATGATTTTGCAATTGCGTTAGTTATATTTCCTGCATGAGTAATCTAGGATTTTTATCTTCACAAATAACTTTATTATTGCATATAAGAAGTAATGTATTAGCAGCCTGATCTCCTCTATTTATTAATAAGATTTGTATACTGTTACCATATCAGAATATTTAATTACAAAAAGGGTAGATCAGGTTGTGTAAAATATAGTCACATTGTGTTTTATATTATAAAATAGATAATTATGCAATTAAAATGAATAATGGTTAACAATGTTTCATCTAATGATAATAAAATTCAAGATGATATTTTTGCTGTAGCCTTCATAAAGCTATTATTTTATTTTTTTTTTTTTTTTCAATTAAATGCGTAATATTTTAATTTTTTTTTGTATTTGTTTCATGATTTTTTATTTTTTTTTTTTTTTTTTACCAACCCAAATATGGACCAGGATGGGGAGGGGTGTGATTTTTAATCAATGGAGGAAAATTTGGACAAGCAGATTTTTACAGATACTTAAACTTAACGGAAATTCTTTTTCTTTTTCAAAGCTTGCTGCTGATATTTTGAAAAGTTTATCATGAATGAACATCGTCTTTTTCTCTCTCTCTCTCTCTCTCTCTTTCTTGCTTTTACAGCATTACAGATTTTTTTTTTTTTTCTTTTTGACCAATTGAATACTAATCTCCCAGGGCTTAGATTCTAGTCTAGCTGTGTTACTAAACCCATTGAATGTCATTATTAAAAGTATTTCTGTTACTGAGTGGCTTCTGGCTAATTGCAGATGAGTGGTGATAGAATTCGACCTCGAAGCATGGCTGAGACACAAACCAGACAGTCATCCCCATCATCTGATACTGGACCTCCCAACCGAGCACAGTATGGTAGTGCTATCACCCCACATAATCATTCACATTTGGTCACTTCTACATCTTCCAGCTGGTCAAGGGACCAAGAAATCCATTCTATCCCTTCTGGTCAGTTGAGGGATCAAGAACAATGTTCAGTCTCTTCTGGACACTCAAGAGACCAAAAGCGGCATTCAGTCCCTTCTGCCCGGTCAAGAGCTCATGAACCACGTTCAGTGTCTTCTAGCCACTTAAGAGGCCAGGAACGGCACTCCATCCCTTCTGGTCAGCCAAGGGATCATGAATCACATTTCGTTTCTTCTGGTCACTCAAAAGACACAGAATCATCTTCTGCCCGTTGTGATCAGTTCAAAGACAAAGAAACCAATACTATTCCTTCCAGTTTTCCAAAAGACCATGAAAAATGTTCTGGTCAATCAGCAGACCAGGAACCACATTCAGTTCCTTATAGTCAGTCAAAAGACCTCAAAGAATTGCCAGCAGCCTCTCCTGTTCGGTCAAAAGACTACAAAATTCATTCTCTATCATTTGGTCATTCAAGAGACCAAGAACCTCATCCACACTCTCCTGATCATTATCAAAATGAAGATTCACATTCAGTTCATTCTGGTCAGTTGATGAATGAGATACATTCGGGTTCCCATCGGCCAAGAGATCAGGAAAGTCATTCTGTCTCCTCTGGTCACTTACGGAACCAGGAACAACATTCATTCTCTTCTGGTCAATTAAGGGATCAAGAATCATCTATTTCTTCAGGTCATTCTAGGGAGCAAGAACAGCTTTCCGATTACTGGTCAAGAGATCAAGAAGGACACTCGGTCCATACCGGTCATTCTAGAGATCAAGAAACACATTCTCTCTCTTCTGGTAGATCGAGGGAACTGGAACAACATTCAGTCTCCGTTCAAACAAGAACCCCTGAACTACATTCTCTTTCTGTAGGTTGGTCAAAAGAGCAGGAACATCATTTAGTCTGCTCTGGCCCCCATAGGGATACACGATCTCATTGTATCACACATTCAAATACCACTGGTCAATTGAGAAATGTGGAATCTCATAGTAGCATTCCTCCCTCAGGACGAAAGAGAAATGATTACCACGTTTGTGCCCCTACTAATCGGTGGAGTCATCAAGAACCAATTTCTGCTCCTTTTGGCCGAAGAAGAGACCAAGTATCCAATTCTGTCCCTTCCAGTCGTCAAAGGGATCAACATTATACATCACATTCAATTACACATTGGAGGGACCATGAGCATAAGCCTAATCCTATAATTGATTTTGAGCCCTATTTTATTAAACCCCCTGCAAACCTCTCCAAGGATCCAGAACTCCATTTAATAAATTCTGTCCCTGGACAAAAGCGAGATGATACAGACTTACACTCAGTCCCCATCAATTCTGCTCTGGTACAGGACTCAGAAAAAAACAATACTCCACATTTCCGAAAGACTTCTCTTCCAGGGCCAATCAAGCCTGTACGCACATCTGGCCCTCATTTTGCTACTCAGGTGAAAACCTCTAATAGTCCGTACACTCCTCATTCTCATGTCACTCGTGTGACAGATAACAGCTTTGGTAGTCCTGGCAGACACTTAAATAATCCCACTTCTGGGAGCAGCCATTCTCATGTGTCACAAACAAGAGACCATCTTAATGAGACAGAAGCTGAAGAAGTCTCGAGATGGCTGACAGAATGTCCAGTGGAATCTAGTCCTCAAAGTGGACACTCAAGGAATTCCCAATTACAAGAATGGGAAGCTGACATTATGGGTCAGGAAATCATTTCATCCGACCGAAGTTCTAGAGTGAGTGGGGATCTGAGGCTACCATCCCCATCCCCACCGGGGAGTTACCACAGTGATGACGAGCCATCATCTCTTAGGTATGTAAGACTAACCATAATGTGTACTAACTTATTTATATAATACACACACTCTTTAAATTGCGATCAGTTTTTATCCTCGATAAGTATTTAATTTGGATCAAATAGTTGTCATTCATCAAGGGTTAAACCAAGTTTTGGTCTTTTGGATATTTTAAAGAGAAAATTTATTTTCATTAAATCTTTTAAATGCACTTTGAAAATTTATTAACTTTAGTCAATTTGTTTGCTTTGAATCTCAACTGAGGACCTTTTCATTTGGGCTTAGAGAGTCTCAAAGTTAAAATTCCCATTATGATAGGGGGCTGAAAAGCTCTCAGTTTAACCAAGAAATTCTTCCAAAAAAAAATAAATTTTGGAAAGTGAGTCAGGCTGAAAACTTATTTTTTTTATTTTTCATATCTCAAATGCAGTGGATTAGGAAATTTATTTTATAACTTTATGATTAAGCTAATAACAACATTAATTAAAAAGAAAATAGACCTCTTAATATTATTTAGTTCTAGAGTTTGAATATAATTAAATGTCTCATTCATCTAAGTTTAAACCCAATGTATCGTGAATATTTTAAAGAAAAAATTATTTTCATTGAATTTTATGAGTGCTCGTTTAAAAATTATTAACCTTAATCAATTTGTTTGTTTTGAATCTCAACTGAAGACCTTTTCATTTGGGCTTAAAAAGTCTCAAAGATAAAATTTACATTATGATAGGGTGCTGAAAAGTTCAGCCTGACCAAGAAATCCTTCCTCAAAAAATCTTTTTTTGGTCAAATTTTTAAAAAGTGAGTTAGGCTGAAAACTTCTATATTTTTACATCTCACATGCAGTGGATTGGGAAATTCATTTTATAGTTTTATGATTGGGCTAATAACCACATTAATTAACCCTTTAAGGCTGGATGCGCCCACAATTGGGTAGCACTTTATTTCAATACACAGTGTTAATAGCTGTCATAGGATCAACTAGATGTGCCAGAAAAGTAAAACTTTTTAGAAATCTAGACCTTTGTAAAAACTCACAACAGGTAGTACTGAAGGAGTTAACATCTTATTTTAATGTATCATATTTTAATTTATAAGGTAAAAGTAATGCCCATCATTTATTTTCATTTATTGACCAGCTGTAAAATGCTATTATTCCACAGTCATCATGACTGACTATGAATTTTCATTAGTGATGAACAAAAGCCTGGTATATGGCTTCTTAAACACATCACTGTTGTTATGGCTACAACGCATTACCCACTTCATAACTCTGCTCTGATTCACTGTTTGGTCTCCATAAGAACAAGCATCAATGAATGTTGATGAGTGTAAATTTCTCATATAGAGTAATTCAATGACACTACTTTATGTCAAATACCATTTTACCAGATTACTGATGACATACTATTTCTGACAAAGCAAAAAAAAAAATAATTATTAGCAGGAAGGTCATATCTTTACTGCCAAACAACCAACTATCTCTGATATCATGGATCAACATAATAAAATAAGAGGCATTACTTTTGGAGCTACCCTCATGCTATGAACCACAGAAAATAAATAAAATCATATTACTTGGACTTCATATAATCTCGGACCTTCATGCCCACAAAAAAAATGGAGTATCAAAAGTCTCGTTTTTCCCATGGCACCACTAATATTTTAACTACCTTCACTTTTTGGCAATGTTTATTGTTTTAAAAAGTATTGATTAGAATTTTAATAAAACCTATTTACACTATTTATGACATTGTTTATTGGAATAGTTGGCAAAACATCAGCTAATTGCCAGTCAATTCAAACTTTATAAAATGGTAAATAAGGATTTCCTTATAGTTGGTTCACATATTTTAAATTTAGTAGATATCTATAATTTTATGAATAAAACAGTTTTCATATTTATTTCTTTTATAAAATGGTAAATTGTATTGCATTAGTTTTAATACAATTTATTAGTTTTTGGAATGTTGTAAATATATTAATTTTCTTGTAAATAAAAAATCTAATAAATAATATTTTCGTTGTAAATTGTCAGGAACAAGAAGAAAATGTATAAATTCACTTTCATCATATGGTGAAGTTTTATTACAATTCTGATCATCACTTTTTTAAAACAATAAATATTACCGCGGAGTGAAGGTACTTAAAATAATAGCAGTGTCAAGGGAAAAACTGTCCTTTTTGACTTTCCTTTTCATTATTTTTTTTTTTTTTTAAATGTGGGTACAAAGGTCTAAAATTGCCTAATTGGAAAGTCTCTGGATTAAGCCTTAGAAAAGTTTTCCATTACTGTAGTAAATAATATATTTCATATATTATTTAAATTAACTATCCTCATGAGTGAGGTCACAAATTTTTTTTTTTTTTTTTCAATTGGAGATTAATTATCCTGATTGCTCATCATCACTAAAATCCTGAGTACAGCTGAAAGAATCCTTGTTAAAAAAAACAATAAAGCATTTCAAGGATCTTTCTAGCAGATTTGCCATTCTTCATGCAAACTTTTCAGGCATATTATGAAAATATAAAGATTTTAGAACTATTCTAAAATTTCATGTAATAATTGACCACAACTAGATAACAAGAAGCATATTGTCAGGACTACTGTAGTTTAGGCACCAATAAGTACGAGCTAAAATCACATCACTTACAATTCAAAAATTTTCCAATAACACCTTATATATTCAAGGCCAAAACAATTTTGAAAGAAAATTTAACAAGAATAGATTACACAAAACCTATTGGCAGACTGACTCGATAGTCTGGGTATGAATGAGCATTAGCACCAAATGCATATTTGCTGAATGGTACAATCATTTCACATTCAGAACATTTCGGCATCATTTCATATATCAGTGGACAAAAGAATTCTTAAAGGAAACTTATTAAGTGAATACAAGTAGATAGTATAAAACAGACTAACTCAGTAACTATAATCATGTCACTTACAATCCAAGAACTTATATATTAGTGAAAAAAAAATAATAAAACTTAATAAGAGTAGATTATACAATGTCTATTGGCAGACTGACTCAGTAGGCTGGGTACCAATGAGCATTAGTTGAACATGCATTTCCAAGCACATCACTTAAAATCCAGCTTTAAAATTTGAATTTTCCATAAACAGGTCAGAATAGACAGCACTTTTCAGTCTTGATAGTGTTCAAAAGTGTCTCTGAGTCTTTGTTGTGCAACCCCTCCCTCACAGATGGGATGTGGCAAACCTCTCACTGCTCTATTGCTGCTTCCATGCTCAGATGAACTGCATTCGGTGGTTCTACCAGTTCAAACCTTCACAGCTAGCACCCACCATACTACGTGCATTGTAGTGAACCACCCTCATTCCCTCCATATTTCATTGGTGAGAAGTAAGTTCTATTCGAGCTGGTTCTTCTCACAAACCACTGCTCTGTGGAACCGACTCCCAAGAGGATTTTTTGCCCAATCACTACACTCTTAACTTGTTCAAGTCTAGGGTTAATTAATCATTTTTCCATATTTATTTTCTATCTATAGAAAGTGCATTCACATTTAAGTTACCTTATACAGGTTGAGAATTCTTTATATCTAAAATTCTTGGGACTAGAAGTGCTTTGGTTTTCAGAATTTTGGTGAATTTTGGAATACACCTTACTTAATTTATATATAGCATCTATAAAATGGGGTACTTTGGGAATGGTACCTAAACATAGAGACGATATCCCTTTACATTTCATAACACAGCTTAAACATATACCCTGAAGGTAGTTTTATATAAATAATATATACCCTGAAATTAGTTTTATATAAAATTTAATAAATTTTGTGTACGTACAGATACAGGTAATAATGCTAGTCATGTAATACTTAAGTGGTGAAATTAAGATTTTGCATAAAAGTAATGTTTTGTACTTTCTGTTTGTGTACAAAAACATGATCATTACTTACAAAAAATATCTAAATGCAGTATTTTTTGAAATTTTGAATAATATCTTTACTGAGCACGAAACACCTGGTAAGTAAACCACAAACAAATTTGTTGCTGTAATGATCACTAACAAAAAACTGGTACCAACATAGGCTACATAGCTGGGCTTTCTGAAATTTTTCATTTGTGGCAAGTCATGTCAGCACCTGAAAAACTTTCTGATTTTGGAGGATTTGGGATTAAGAAATTTTCAGATAAAGGATAGTCAACCTGTGCCATTAATTACATTGTATGAATAAATTTAGTACAACAATGATAGGATAACGTTTCATATTATGCAAGTAGCATGGGTTTAATTTTTAAATATGAATGCTAAATTAATGTTTGTGATTTCTTTAAAAATCAAAAAAATTGTTTATTGCTATGGAATTAAAACCATTGTTAATCTTTTTGTTATCAAGATTTAAACTAAAGAAGCATTCAAGTTCTATTGAAAATTAGTATTTGTAATTATGTTATTAATATATGTTTATATCTTGTGACTTTTTACTCCTTTAGTACTTTTAGACACCTAGTTAAAAAAAAAAGCAAGTTTATTTTTATTTAACCATAACTTTATTTTTTTTAAATTTTTTTTTGCATTATACAGGAAGTATGATAAAGAATTATAAAATAAAGATTAGTGTTTCTGTTTTATTAGTATATATTTTCTCTAAATGGTGGGGAGAGCTTTTAGTTTTTATATACAAAAACAGTCAATTAAAATTAAATGAGTGATTTTTTTTTTTTTCTCCAACTAAAAGGGGTGTTTGGAATAAGAACATTCCAGGTTGATTATTCTCCAAAATCTAAAACACTTACCTGGAAAAATTTCTATCCAAGCAGAGATGTCCAATCATTGTAGACAAAAATGATATAACATGTTTTTATTGAATTTTGGTACATTTTTCTGGATTTCTGTTCCTTTCATCAGTCAAAGAGACTGCGGACTTTAAGTACAATACAGATTGTAACAGATAATAATTCATAATTCTTGGGAAGAGAAGATAATTCAAAATTCTTATAGAAAAAACAAATACTAGGAGTTAGCACAATTTATTATTGTTATAATTCTACAAAATTATTTTTAAATCCTCAAGCCTGTCATATAAGATTTAACTTGTTTATTTCAATAAGGCTCCCTTTTATCAATTCAGAATTCTCCTTTAATAGCCAATTTTCATACTTTTATGATAGGTAATTTTAGAATCTATCAAGTAACTCTTTTTTTCTAAAGAAAATCATTTGATGCCCTTTTAATTAAAAATTTTAAGTAATTTAGTTGATTTAATTTGCTATTGTCATTTTTAATTAATAACACTGTTATCAAAGTGGCAAAACAGAAATTTTGATCAACTAAGTTACAAAAAATTAAAACAATTTGATAAAAATAATTAAATAATGTTATATTTTAATATTAGCCTTTATTTCATACAGAAAGAAATAACTGTTGGCATTTACTGGCCCAATTTGCCAAAAAACTGCATTTGTGCTTTTTCTATTGGTGTAACATTGCCAGTCTTGAGGTTCTATAAGGATTGCATTAAATTTCATACTTTAAATCTGTTGTAATGCTTTTGGTGAAAGGATTTGTTAGCCTTTACGATAAAGTGAAAGCCCTTGTAATATTGTTTTTTTTTTTTTTTAATAAATTATAAGTTATCATTTCTTGTTGAAAAAAACATTTTTTAAAAAGATAGCATTTATAATAATTCTAGATCTCTAACACCATGTACAAAACTTCCAGTTGCATAACAAAAATACATAAAACTTTAGTATCTAGTATTACTCTTGTTATTAAATAGGAAATGTTTATTACAAAATTAGTTCAGATAATTAAGCTCCTTTTTGTTGCTGACAACAGTATTTCAGCAAGTCCATTCTGTAGCTTTATTTAGATCTATAATCCCTAAGTAAAGATCAGAAGCTCTTCAGATGGTGAACTAGGAAAGAAATAATGGATAATCTACTGCTTGGTTCAACTCATTCCTATCAATGTGAGCCATGCAATTATACATAATCTGCATAACACCCTGAACAAAGAAAGATAAATAATATTACCTGAGAGTTAGAAAATTGATGGAAACAGTTGTGTGTATCTCGGTGCACTGTTTTTGGTTTTGTTTTTTGCTAAGCATGGAGGATATTGGAGAGTATTCTTATAAAATCAATTTTTTGCATGGCTTTCCTGAAAATGTTATTTCCTATATGACTCACATTGCTGAGAATGAACAAAGCCAAGCAGCATATTAACCACCATTTCTATAATAGATAAAAAGATAAATTGTATAGTTTGAAGAAAGCTGAAGAAGGAATCAGCCAAAATGTAATGACAAAAGCAATACTAAAAATGAATTTAAGTCTTGAACAACTGTTGGAATGCAAATGACTCATCTCAAAATTAAAAAAAAAAAATGCCTATTTTCAATGTACTTCTATAGTAACATTATTTGTAAAAAATGAATTTAATAAATTTTTTAGCAAATCTTTGAATGATAATAACTCTTCTCAAAATTATAGAAGGTAATATTTACATTTGTACAAGTATATAGTCTAACACAGCTGAAGTTTGATTTGAAATTTTCACCGTCTAATGTGCAATTAATAGACATGCTGGGTTAAGTGCATTAACAACGAAAGAAATTGTTGGATGATATTAGTTCAGAGCATTTTCTTTCATGACTAAGCTATGGACTTAGATAAATTTATATAATTGTATATCATTCTATGAGAAAATATTAATCCCAAATAAATTCTAGTAAATGGTTATTCTGTTAGAATTTAAATAATAATAATAATAATTACCGTTATGTAATGGAACCCAGACCATTACAAGAAATAGTGATATTAGAATTGATAAAAAAATAAAGAAAAGAAAAATCCAAACCACTTTCAGACAGTGTTTCACATTTTGTGCTGTGCTATTGTTTCTTTCACCAGTAGCGGAACCCCAGATTTTACACCCAGTAAGCGTCAGATAAGCAATCCTATATCTTGCACTTACAACATCGCCACAGCCATTGATCCTACATACAAGCGAAGGCAACATGAAATTGAGGCTGTGGATGAGACGGAGCCCAAAATTCCGTTAATGCTCTCTCGTTCTCTTCCAGTGCATGCAGGTGAGTATGACAGCCATTTTATCTTGTGGTGGCTGGGTTACCCAATCTGCGACATTCATCCCTTGTTGCTAATATGCTCTGCATTTAGAACCTAACAGATGTGCCTCTTGCTAACCCGTTTTTAACACTTTTCCTGCATCGCCTGGCTTTTTTCTTTTTCTTTTTTTTTTTTTTTTTAATTCTGCGTAGTTTCCCCCCTCCTCCTAATTCTTCTTTTATCTTTGTATATTTGAAACCCTTGCTTCACTTGCTACACAAAACTGAACTGTGGAGAAGTAAAAAAAAAATAGACATGTTAGCAGTTTATTTCTTTAGACCAGTGTTTCTCAACCATTTTTAATTCAGGGCACACTTGTAGAATAACTAAAATTCTGGGGCGCACTTTAAATTAGTCATGAAATTTGAAAATATGAATTTTTGGTTTCCCTTTCCTGTTAGGGGATGTTAACTTACTTCCCCTATAAAAGGACAATAACTCAAAATACAATTGAGTTACTTCCCTTGTCTGCTAATTGGAGTGTGGTGCTTTTGAATTCAAGATGGTGACAAGCTGACACACGTGGAATTCATGGTTTAAATCCCAAAAAATCCTTGCTGTTCACTGGCAGTAAATGAATGTTTTTTTTGTTTTTTTTATGTGTTAAAATAACATTGTCTTTTATTTTCATTCATTTTTGTTCATCCCTACAACCTGGGATATAACAATTCCCCCCCAAAAAAGATTAGTGGTACAGTTTTCATTTAAAGGGATTTATGAAAAATCAATCTCTCTGTATATATATATATATATATATATATATATATATATATTTTTTTTTTTTTTTAAGCAAGAAAGAGAGAGAAGCTAATAATGACTGATTTAAATCCTTTGAGGAAGGCAAAAGAGAAATGATTATCTACTCCTTAAAGATTAAGGAATTTAGCATCCAGTTCAAAATATCAAATGCTAAAGATTTGGCTTAGACATAGAAGCCTTGAGCTTGGTGTCTCTCAATTTAAGAAAAAAATCAATTACTCTTTTGTTAATTTGGGGTGCACCTGGCTACTTTTCAGAGCACATTAATGTTCCCAGGCACACCGGTTGAGAAACGCTGCTTTAGACCATGCATGGTGCTTAAGGGTTTTTATTTGAACATCTCTTACTTGTGTGATCTGGGTCATATGGTTGACAAGGTAGTCATAGCAAAAGGAAATAAGTGTTCTTTTAAATTAATGAGCAAGTTCCATATAATCAATATGTTCAATAGCAAGTATAAAATATTGAGACCTAAAACACCATTGGAAATTAGCTTTCCTTCCGAAAATACTGTTGTAAAATTTTTAATGCTTCTTTTGAAAAAAATCAGTTTTATCATTACTATTCTTTTAAAAATCCTATTTAGTGTAAAGTATGTTTATTTTTTATTTATTCAAGTAAAAATAATTTTCTTTGAAATTTTATTACAAAAATTATTTCAAATTTAGTTTTAATGAATTAAAAATTTTAAAAATGAATTTGTCTAAAAATTGTTTTAAATTACAAATGAAGTAGAATCATACATTCAGAATTTGTATATTTGTTAATTAAAATTCAAAAAACTTTATTCAATTTATATTCTTTAGAATTTAATGAATGAACCAAATCAAATGAGATTGAAGAGATCTTGGCTTCTTTTTTCTTTTTCCCTTTTCTCTTAATTTCTTTTTTATCTTTTTTTCATCCTTTTCTTATCTTTTTTTTCATCCTTTTCTTATCTTTTTTTTTTATCCTTTTCTTATCTTTTTTTTATCCTTTTCTTATCTTTTTTTTTATCCTTTTCTTATCTTTTTTTATCCTTTTCTTATCTTTTTTATCCTTTTCTTATCTTTTTTATCCTTTTCTTATCCTTTTTTTCTTTTTTATCCTTTTCTTATCTTTTTTTTTATCCTTTTCTTATCTTTTTTTATCCTTTTCTTATCTTTTTTTATCCTTTTTTTTTTTTTTTATCCTTTTCTTATCTTTTTTATCCTTTTCTTATCTTTTTTATCCTTTTCTTATCTTTTTTTATCCTTTTCTTATCTTTTTTTATCCTTTTCTTATCTTTTTTTATCCTTTTCTTATCTTTTTTTATCCTTTTTATCTTTTTTTATCTTTTTTTCTTTTTCATCCTTTTCTTATCTTTTTTTATCCTTTTCTTATCTTTTTTTTATCCTTTTCTTATCTTTTTTTTTATCCTTTTCTTATCTTTTTTCTTATCTTTTTTCCTTTTCTTATCTTTTTTTTATCCTTTTCTTATCTTTTTTTTCCTTTTCTTATCTTTTTTCCTTTTCTTATCTTTTTTTTTCATCCTTTTCTTATCTTTTTTTTTCCTTTTCTTATCTTTTTTATCCTTTTCTTATCTTTTTTATCCTTTTTTATCTTTTTTTCATCCTTTTCTTATCTTTTTCATCCTTTTCTTATCTTTTTTTCATCCTTTTCTTATCTTTTTTTTTATCCTTTTCTTATCTTTTTTATCCTTTTCTTATCTTTTTTATCCTTTTCTTATCTTTTTTTATCCTTTTCTTATCTTTTTTATCCTTTTCTTATCTTTTTCATCCTTTTCTTATCTTTTTTTCATCCTTTTCTTATCTTTTTTTTTATCCTTTTCTTATCTTTTTTTTATCCTTTTCTTATCTTTTTTATCCTTTTCTTATCTTTTTTATCCTTTTCTTATCTTTTTTATCCTTTTCTTATCTTTTTTTATCCTTTTCTTATCTTTTTTTATCCTTTTCTTATCTTTTTTTTATCCTTTTCTTATCTTTTTTTTTATCCTTTTCTTATCTTTTTTTATCCTTTTCTTATCTTTTTTTATCCTTTTCTTATCTTTTTTTTATCCTTTTCTTATCTTTTTTTATCCTTTTCTTATCTTTTTTTATCCTTTTCTTATCTTTTTTTATCCTTTTCTTATCTTTTTTATCCTTTTCTTATCTTTTTTTATCCTTTTTATCCCTTTTCTTATCTTTTTTTTATCCTTTTCTTATCTTTTTATCCTTTTCTTATCTTTTTTTTATCCTTTTCTTATCTTTTTTCCTTTTCTTATCTTTTTTTTTCCTTTTCTTATCTTTTTTTATCCTTTTCTTATCTTTTTTTATCCTTTTCTTATCTTTTTTATCCTTTTCTTATCTTTTTTATCCTTTTCTTATCTTTTTTTATCCTTTTCTTATCTTTTTCTTCTTTTTAGCTTTTCCTTCTTTTTAGCTTTTCCTTCTTTTTATCTTATCTTTTTCCTTTTTATTTTCTTTTTCATCTTTTTTCGTCTTTTTTCTTCTTTTTTGTCTTTTTTCTTTTAAATTATATTTTGGCTTCAATAGATATAGTAAAAAAAAATCGAGATATGCTGTCACTATTGACTACATTTGAGTTTCAGCTGGTGGTTCAAATAAAAGGGTTGGCTGGATTTTTTCTTATTTTTAGTAATGAAACTCTTAACCTAAAATGCTTTTAGTCTAAATTAAGTGGTAGGAGGAAATTTTCTGAATGTTTAATAAAAGGAGTGGTTAGAATAAGAAAATCTCATCTGTTATTTGAAACTCGAAGGTATATCTTTTCCCTTTTAGATTTTCAATGTATAAATTTGATAATTAAAAAGCAAGTTATTAAAAAATAGTTTAAATTTTGCTATTGAACATAATGATAATGTGTAATTTACTCTTAAAAAAATTTTTTTTAGGTGTTTTATCAAGACACTTGTATGCATTTTGTCTTTTCAGGTTTAAGTGAAATTTCTTGCTAAGACATATATATATATCCTAAAGAAGTATTTTTTTTTTTTTTTTATTTATTAATGCGACAGATTTTTATCACTTTAAATATTATTTTCAGTGGATACTCATATTTGAGTAGACACACTCTATTTATTAAACAGTATATTTTATTTATTTTTGTCTACCAGCTTGAATATTTGAGAAATCTTATTAAAGAAAAATATGTACTCTCCAGCATGACTCAATAACATGTCTGACAATCTAATCTTGATAGTTTAATTATTATTATTTTATCTTTTTTGTTCTATCAGGGGTCTTACAACCATATCACAATGAAACACTGGTTCTCATAAGATCATTGAAATTAAGTAATGTCAAGTGTGGTCAGTACCTTGATAGGTAACCACTTGTGAATACCAGGTACTGTAAGCTTGGATGTGTGGTTGGGATAATGGCTTGGAATTGGAAATTGGAGAGCTGAATTCCAATTCCACTTGGGTTCATTATGTTCACTTACGCACAATTAATCTTGGGAAAGGTATGAAAGTACCCCTTCTGTCCTCAGCTATGAATTAATTAATAGGATTTGTATCATTAAATCATTATCTCCTAAAAAAAAAAAACAAATCAATCTACTATCAGGGGTCCCAGATATATCTTGACTAACATTATATTCATATAGTATTCTTGGAAAGAGATTAATAATGTGTGTGTATATAATAATATATATATATATATATGAAGTGTGTGTATATGGGCACATGTACTTGGCCAAGTAGTGAGAGCATTCATTTGTCTGAAAGGTAACTTTTTTATATTATCAGCCTGGAGAGGCAATCCCATAATGTGGCACCCTTGGAAAAGCATGCCACAGGTTGACCTAAGCCTTATGAATGAAATTAAGTATATGGGATTGTTCAAAAGCAATTGATGGTTGTGATAGCATAGCCATTGTGACCAAGAGCACACTGGCTTTGTTCAAAACTGTTAATCATGTCAGATTATGAATTAGTACAATCCACCCCTGCAGATTAAATAGAGGATTTCACTTTGAACTTCCCTGAAGATTAACTGGATTAATAGACACCTGAAGAAGGCTAGAGAGCACAATGACTGAAACATTGTGGTAATAACAACAAAAATGAGGGCAATAGTCAAAATATAGTGTGTGTGTGTGTGTGTGTCTGAAGATTTTAATTTTTTAATATTTTTTATTGTTCAAAAAAAAATATATAAATGAATGAAACAGTGCTGATGCTAAGAAAATGGTTCCCACTGTAAAATAACAGCTAAAATTTATACTAATAATAAATATACATTTGTTCTTTACTATTTGGTGCATCTGTGAGTTTTATGCATGTATATTTATTATTAGCATACAAGGTCTGATAAAAAATAAAGAAAGTTACAACATATAAATAGGCATTTAATTTCCTTCAGAGTAGTCCTCTTCTGAAGCCACACCCCTTATCCAGCATTGTTTCCATTGGTGAAAGCATTCCTAAAACTCCTTTTTGGAGAGAGTGAGCAGCTACCTCATTGCATTCTCTTGGGTTTCTTCGAAGTCTTGAAATCTTGTTCCTTTCAAGTAAGATTAGATTTTTGGAAAGAGGAAAGTCACACTGACATCCAATAAGTATTGTGAACTTAATTATTTCTGATTCAATTTATTGAGGTCAACATCCAGCAGCAACAGGCTGTTTCATGCTTAAACACAGGCCTGAATATTGTGATTAAGCATAAAACAAGCTGTCAGAATTGGGTGTTGACCTCAATGTCCACTTTTATATTTGCATATGCTCTATCCTTGTACATTAACCTATGAATATAGCATACCATAAAACTATATTTTTATCATATATAATAGTGCACAGTTAATATTGGTAGTTATAAAACTTTTGGATTTGTACCTGACAATTGCTATATGCATGAAAATTGGAGCAGCATCAAGCAGAGGAACAACTTTGTTTAAAAATAAATATGTCTAAATTCCCCTTCATCCCTGCCATGTGCCAATGGCTTAGGGGTAAAATCTCTGACTGATACCAAATCAGTCAGGTTTGATGCATTTGAATGTCTAGCAACACTGATGAGCTGTGAAACAGCAAAACAGTCTGTCTGTGGTTGACTATATATATATATATATATATATATATATATATATATAAATAAAATACAGATATGAAATTTGTCACTTAGCTAAAGTGAGTATCACCAAAATTATTAAAATTTCACTTAATTTGTTTCTTAATCATATTAAGCCTGAGGTGCCCCCAAAAGGAGAAATGCTGAAGGGGTCATTTTTTTTTTCCCCACGTAATTACCATTAAACCCACTTTAAATTGACTTTGTGTCATATTCAGTAGCAATGTTGATGCACTGAAAAATACAGCATATTAGGCCTTAATTATTTTTTAGATCTCCTTTTGGTAATCTAAATTATCTGCTTTCTCAAAGTTGTCTAATAAAAAAAAAACCTGATTGCAGAATGACATTGACATTGAGAATTTGAACTTTTTTAGCTGAAAAATGCCAAGAAAATTCAAGACAATAGTAGATAAATTTATCAGTATTTGGATCCTATATTTTTAGGTTTGCCTTTTTAGATATGAAAGGAAACCTGGTCTACAAAATGTATATAAGAGACTTTTTACTTTGTCAGAATTGTTCCAATTTGGGATTCCTTTTTCATTACATATATGCAGAAATATATTGATTTTGTGTGTGCATGTGTATGAATTTAATATGATCTAGAAAACCTCAGGGTATCTCTGATTCTTTGAAAACTTTTTGTGTTTAATAATTCTGCATATGATGTGTCTTTCCATTTTGTAACATTAGTCTGAGTAGCAAACTTGTTGGTTCCTTCACTTATAAGAGCTAACATTTCTTCAACAAAATAAAAATTGAAAAAAACTTCATGACCGATACTACTTTTTAAACCTGGAATATCATCAAAAAGAATGTGTCTAATTGTTGATTTAATAAGTACAAAAACAAAAAGAAAAAACACCTGCTAAATGATTAACATGACTAAATATTTTAACAAAGTTTAACTTAGAACTGGGAATAAAAAAAACGATATATCAAAATTGTGTTTTTTCTATTGAAACTACTATGATTGTATACTCACTCAGTAAATTTATAGTTTTAAAAAGCCATGTTAAGAATTTTAATAAAATCATGACATGAAACTGGACTTTCTGAAGGTGCAACTGAAACCACATGGCACTTCTTGTCTATATAGTAAAATGGTAATCAAAACTTCAATAGGAAGTTGTTTATATATGTTATCTGAAAAGTAAACTTTGACATTTATCAAATTTAGGAATAAGCAGTTGCGTCTATAAATATATTCTTTCTTATTTTTTTTTTTTTTTTTTTTTTTTTTTTTTTTTTAGCATCATTAAGAAAATTCCCCTCTAGAACCAAGTTGAAGTTCCATTCTCAGTTGATTATTGTCCTGAATTCTCATGAATTGACATTGCATTAAGACAAAACAGATTATATAATTTACCTCAGTTAAAATGTTTTATATACTTATTTGACAGATCACAAAAGCATTGAGATTGAATTCACTTCATTTTCAATGTTTCCTTCCAGTTATGCATTCCCCTTAAGTACTGTTTCCTTCAGGACATAGGTGATCATGGCTCTCCACAATTTCCTTTTCTTTTATTAATATCTGTAAATTGTGATATGCTTTGATTCTCTCTTGGGAAATGAGTAGTTTCCTGTTGTCATCTCTAAGGTTTTAAATTCAGAATTGTTCTTTTAGACTGGTTGCCATCCAAAGCTAGAAAGCCCAGTCTACTCTGTTGCTTAACCCATGGCTGTGGATAGAAGAGATATGTTCATGCCTTTTCCAAAGGCATTAGTGCAAAATGGATCCAAACTCTCGAACAGAATTGAACTGTTAACTGTAGTCCCTTTATGCATACAATAGTAAAACATTCATGCATTTATTTGTTTTTATATTTCTTTTATGGTGGTATAATGCTTGAAACTGTCACCTTTGTATCAACTATGGTGAGTTTGGTCAATATGTTGACTACCCAAGATTTTATATTCTAGGTTCACACTTGTGGGTATATAAAACCGGCATAACAGGAAACAATGTCAGTTGCCTGAAGATTGCCTAAAGTAGTGGCCAGATGGAAAATATCACTTTTTAGGAATAATGCATTTACTCTGTCTTGAGATATTGAGCTCCTTTCTTTTTTTCTCTCTCTCTTCAATGTCTATTTTCTATCCCAGAGTGAATAAGTTACTTATATGCATACACATACAGATATGTATGCATACCAGCTTATGCACACACATACGTGTACCAGCACATGCATACATATACACGCACATATATGCATGAAAATTAAAGTAGTGGCTGGAGGAAAAGATTCCTTTTTAGGAATACTACGTTTACGCTGTCATGAGATATGGAGCCTCTTTTTTTTTTTTCTCTCTTCAGGTGTATTTTCTGACCCATAGTGAGTT